AGTTGTGAGTCAACACCGATTTGCAGATTCGATCTGTCAGTTCTGTGTTGCGTTAACTTGCGCGATATCTATATATCGGTCCTTTTCTTGTATCGATCCTTATTAAACGGTTCCAAACGGTTTTTTATGCAATTTTTTATGACCTGACACTTTCGCCTTTATCGTAGGAAGCGAAGGAAARACTTCAAAATTTTATTTATTTTTTTGTATTTMTTTTCTGCTGGTATCYATTTTTGAAMYTCAAACAGTACTGAGCCAAACAATCAGAAAAGTACCTAAGAAGTTTTTTAGTACGAAAATTAATATTTCTAATAYCATATATCATAACTCGAATGCACTTATACGACCCCAGATAGATATTATTTAAGTCATCTATAAAAAAATATACYAGTTTTCGTTACACTAGAGGTAATTCCTTAGTTTATGTATATATTCAGAAAATGATTTTTCACCCAAGTCATAAAGAATGGAAATTGCAGATCTTACTTTCCATAACARTTCATTAAGAGAAATAAGAACTGAAACTGCTTATTATATAACATCCATATATATTTTATAAGCATAACACTTAATTTTATCTTTTCTGCAAAAGTCAGCTTCCTTTTTCGTTTCTTTGATACTTTGCTGGCATTTTTTCTTCTGAGTCATTACTCCTCAACACTCGCAATTGCAAACATACATATATCGAAATATATGTAACTTGCACTTTGATAAAAAATTGGGCCTAAGCTTTCCAAAATTTTCCGTACTTTTTCTAAACATCATATTAACCGGGAGTTTCGCGAGTTTTAAGCTACCACTGTATAAAAACAATAATTTTTAAACACACCTTTTTTCAAATMAATTACATATACATCTGCATATTCGGATTCGACTTGGAACCTAACTCTACAGAATGGCAGGCCCATACTTACGCAACGCAACTACGTAGAACATATCAATGTATGCGCCCGCGCACTTTATGGTATGATGATCTTCAATTGACGACGCATTCAAGTGATCATGTGTGTAATTTAATAAATCTTAAGAATTAAATCGAAATAAAAACGCTCATAAAAAATTCCGCTTAGTCAGAAGTAAGTGAACTCCACATGTAAATACWTTTCTTGAAAATATATAAATACAAATGTAATTCACTTAATCGTCATTATCAGACTACTGGGCATTCAGCAGTGGTAATCAGTGAAATCTCTGGTTTATTACTCCAATTTATAAGAGTCATTCACGAGATAACGCCGAACTCAAACGACCGGTTGTAGGAGGCTGCAGCGACTTTGTGATAACGTCCAAGTTCAGAGCCGTTCATAACTAGCATTAGCTGGCTACTTGTGGTCTAACTCGGTATTATCTGCTGCATCGCCACTAGACGTTTGAAGTTGAAGATTATAACGCAGGCACATTCTCAGCTTATCGGAAGTGTTAATTCTATAAATTAAGCGCATTCCTTTTTAAATATCGAAAGCAAAAGAGTAAAAGTTTTTATGGTGAGCAATCAAAGCAATTATGGAAAAATTCCGCCTCGAGACAAATTTGCACAGATAAATTGCATATATGAGTCACTAAGGAATACGAAAATTATTATAGTAATGCCTTGGGAAATCTTGATCACCTTTAAGTTATGCGGCAATGAGGCTCATGACATTATAAATTCCAATTTCTAGACTAGTCTCCATTGATAAATGWATCATTTCTTATTTTAAAATTTTACTAAAATAGCCTCTAATTGGAGAAGTGGTACCCTTCTTTGCTACTCTCACTTTCTTCCAGAGGTTGACCGAGTTGAATACTACTTTCAGTAAAGTCTAAAGCAGACTTTGATTTGGAAGGAAGCTCTTTCTGAAATGGAAACTAAACTTTGGTTGAAGCAAAGGACTCTAGAATAACAACTCAGGTTTTGGAGAACGARCAACACAGTTTATAGCACAAAAGCAATTTGGGATGTTGATGCCAGACAGACCCAAAAGCTACCACTTTTAGGTAAAAAAAAAAGAACTAACTAACATTACAGGGGTATTCTCAAGGCATTTACCTCTGAGATTCCGCTTTCATTAACTTGTTAAAATAGGATATGCAAAATGTAGATGTAGACATTKCGCGGAGGGTGATCCGACACCGAAACATTACATTTGCGAATGTCCAGACTTCAMTCGGTTGAAACGGTATAACTTTCGCAATTGTCAAAGTCGCAGCTTAAAAGATATTGTTGGCCAGAATATATGAGTCTCTGATAGGAGCTCAATTGGCCACAATTTGCAAGCATAATGACCATAACGATGACTTAAGTGCGAACACGCCTGCAGTGAAGGGCCCCTGCGCCCCTTTTGAACAACCAACCAATGAAAATTCGAAAAGGTTTGAACATCTTTCAGTAAATATTCTCGGTGTTTAGCATTCACAGTAGCCAACGAAGTCTAGTCTCTAACAGAATTATAATAACTTGGGCTAGGACTCAAAAAAGAATCAAAACATCTCGGTTTATAGTTGATAGAACATTTTTCTTTGAATCTGCACCAACTCAGACAGAATTTGYATTGAATTAGGAAAAAGCTCAACATTTGAAAAAAAATTTGGCAACGCTAGCATTCCATTSTATACATCCATCAAGTAAACCTTCATAAATATTGGGTATTATAGAATGGCTTTTCCTCTTCGATTTTAACTACCCAATGAGATGAAAAATTTGCAAATATCCGCATGAGGCGTGCCTTAAAGCGAAAAGATTTTACACGCAAATCTTAAGGAAGTTAATTAAAATCATGCCAAAGTTTATATAAAGAAGTCCGATTATTCTGGATGTATAACGTTTAAAATATTCCAAAATTATTCAACTAGGAAGTTTTCAGAATAAATGTTAAATATTACAAAAAAAAATTAAATTATAACATATACTCTAAATACCGTATGTATTTTCGACTTACCTGGTTTTATTCAACAACCTGTTGGCATTTAACATCCATACGCATAGTGTTTAAGTGCTCGTTGGGTCTACACTATACTCGCCTTATATGCGTAGAAAAATGGAGCAAGGGAGATACGCTCACACATTGCTCTGCTACCCAACTGATTGCTCAACGCACAGCGGGTGACGCGAGGCGTCGACGACCGCTGCACTGCGTTGCGAAGCAGACATCGACAGACTACTGTTGCTAGGGCAGAGAAATGAAATGAGAATAAAATACAGTATATGGAATTAAATAAAATAGTGTATATAACACGAATATAAAGAAAAGTTGAGAATAGCTTTGTGGACGGACTACCAAGTTGTAGGAGATACTTGTACCGAAAATAATCATGATTATATTGGCTTATGCCAAAGGTACCTATAGTTCTAACTTGTACAGCTGGTTATTTACCCAAAATTCTCTAAAAATGAAATAGAATAGATCTACGAAGGGCTTAGAGCTTTCCACAAATTTATGAAGAAGGCTAATAATCCCGCCACWTCGCTAGATGATATGTCTGCCGAGATATTTCAATTCAGTTTAGAAAAAGTTCGACTATAGAGCGGACTCTGTCTACACGATTTCACCTTAACTTTCTCCATACAGCAAATAGCGTCCAGCAACGCGATTGTAATACGAGTCAACCTATTGAACGGACATTAGGTCAAGATAGGTCGGAACGTTGATTCAAAATCGATGGATCCTACTTGAAGTAAGTGATAGGATGATTCCACCTTGCCTTTCTCCAAACAGTTTTCACATATAGCATCCCTCAAAATAATTTGCTGCTCTACGAGTGCGTTTATTGGACAGTGTACGGTCGCAACACCAACAATTGGGGCGAGATTGACTTTGCCGAAAAAAGCAGTTCAAAGGACTTCTTTCAATTCACTCTGGAGCAGAAGATCTCCAGAGCAGTACAAGTTCTGGTTTTAATCGTCGCTTGCTGAACTTACTGGAGGATACATAGTTTCGCTTTTAATCGGTTAAAACTGGGAACAAAGTAAACCTCCTAACAAGCACATCAAGTCATGGATGGACATTATTAAAGCCGAAATAAAAACTCTGGGTGCCTCTCTTTTATCAACAAAAAAAAATTTGTTTATTAACAGCAAACTTTCTTCGAAAACAAAATTGAACTGGAGATTCYAAACTGAAAACAATCTTTGGGCACAAAAATCCCACTGTACCACCCCGAAGCCCCAAAGAAGCCATTGAGCAGAGGCTGCCGTAATCTGTCTAGCGACAGCGCTRACGTTAAAGCAGCAACTGCAGAGTASAGTATTCACCAACAGGGCATTGGTGAGAGTTGTTGAGTTCAACAAAAATACGAGTTTTGTTTTGAATGTATCAACAGCTGTTGCTTTCGCCGACGCCGCCGACGATAGCGTCTCCACCGCCACCAACCTATGTGTCTGAGTGCTGCACACACAATCACATGGGATAGCATAGTGTGGGCACTTGTGCTCCCAATAAACATCATTAGCTGCGACGCAACGCATCCACAGAGTTTATAGTCTCCGGTCTGTTGTGCTATTGTCTAAGTCTGCGGTGGACAACAGGTCTCTTACACGACGCACAGACTGCCAATCAGTTAGAACATTGTCATCAGCACACCTAAGTAAGTGCATACCGAAAGTTACCCAGCAATCAGTTATCGCTGCTCATTGGAACTATTCAGTTCAGAATCTACTTAATACAGCTGAGTATAGTCAACGTTTTCGCGCCATCTTAATCCGAATACGAAGTACTTAGACATCGGCGCGCGTACGTTAGAAGCAGCAATCTACAAAGGCGAACAGCAGAGTGCCAGCGAGACGCTTGAAGTCGCATTGAGTGGCGTTGAGTTCAACAATTCCATACGTTTCGTCTGTGCTGTACGGACTTACGGGCATAATACGCGCAACCAGTCGGTTCAGTCAGTGATCTTTGTCGGTTCGTGTTGGACGTGTGCCCGGTAGCTCAGAAACACTCGARAGCTCGCAGACGATATAAACTAAAATAATATAATATATATAAATAAAACATTCACAAGCAACTGAAATATTTTAGTATCCGCTACAACAACAACAAGTAGCAGCAACGAATCATATTTGTATTTTCACTCCGACAATACAAATTTGATTTTATATTTCGCTGCAATAACCGTGAAATAGMAAAGTAAATAAGCTAAAAATAAGTTTTCGAAAATATAAAAATGGTTATATAAAAAATATAAGCAATTTTCTTTTTCTTAAACAAAAAGTGGCGAGAAAATAATGTTGCTTCAGTTGCCACTTTGTAAGAGCGCAAAAGAAGTGTGCGAGTGCCGATATTTATTTTTAAGCTTTTTTTTTTCTTTATAATTTTTGCATTTTGTTTTGTTTGTGTACATTTTCTGTGTTCCTATGTGCCTGTGGTTTATTATTCATTCCCAGTTTCGTATTATTGTGCTTGAATATTTACATAAAAACAGTTGAAGAAGCAATCATGAAAACAGACCTGTGAGGAGTGCAAAATTAGTTGAATTGCGAAAAATACTTTCATATTCAAAATTGTTAAGGAAAACTAARATGTTAGTGTTTGTGTTCAAATTTAAAGAATCATTGTTGGGAAGCAAATATATAGGAAAATATAGGCGACCGAAAATAATAAAAAGTGTAAATTTGTTTGCAAAATAATA